ACGACTTCTACTTTCACCTCAAAACCCCGCTTCCAGAGAGGCATATTTAGTGGTGAACTGGTAAACCAGCTTCAGAAAAGCAACCCAAAAGAAGCCTTCATATGTAGCACCCACTCATGCCCATGGTTTAGATGTGGCCACTGATCAGTTTCAAACTACCAACAGATTAACAAGTTCCAAACCCTGGGATATTTAACAGTCAGCCTCATGCGTTGGCATGAGCCAGCCCAGCACACCACTGGTTCCTTCGAGGACCACATATCCTAGCTTRTTTTGTTCTGAACAGTTCTGATTTACCCCTATTGTCCTCAAACCCCATTCAGTCTTATATTTGTCCTTCCCAATTTCCCTTTCACAGTGTCCCAGTTTGGACATTAAATTAAGTGGMCATCTATATTCCTGTTCCTTGTAACCTACTTCCTTCCCAGCCTCCCACCCCCAGGTTACCTCCCACATGGTTAGTTACCATCTGTGGTGAAGCGCCTGCACTCCTCAGGGGTCATGCCTGGTTTATAKGCTGCATCCACATAACCGTAGATGTAAGTGCTGCCAGATCCACCAATGGCAAAGGGCTGTCGAGTCAGCATTCCTCCCAGGGTTCCATATACCTGGCAGCAGAGGCACCCTCAGGTCAGACTAAAGAATCATAGAGCCGCTCGATCCCATTGAGTCAAGCAGGTCGTCTCTGCACCCTGCAGGGAAGCCCCTGTTTTTCATATTCCCAACAWTTGAGGCTGTAGTGTACTTTTTAAGAGGCAGTGTCTTTGGAACTCATTGCTGGAATGACTTATGACCTCCATCTCCTGTGTAGGGAAATGGGAAACCCCAAGGAAGGGGGTGCCTTGGGAGGGACTCACCTGGCCCCCTTCACGTTGGTCCCAGCCAGCTAYCATGAGGTGTGCCGACAAGTCTTCCCTATATTTGTAGGTGATATTCCTTATCACATTTGCAGCAGCCAGAACCAGTGGAGGTTCTTCCAGTTCCAACCTGAAGGAGATGTTAGGAATAAGGGTTGATAACATTTTCTTAAGTCCCACCCTCCTGTGCCGTTACTGTCATCCCTGCCAAGTGACACTTGAACCTACAGCTGCAATAGTTCAAACTCCAGCTTCTTTCCCTCATCTACAGAGAAACTAGAGAGCCACACCACCAATTTGTAAGGAGCTTTCAGTTATTCACCCTCTTCCWCTCAGCTCCACCCCACCCRCCTTGCAATGGTACAAGTCTCTTTTGGCTGCAAGGGCCCTGCCCTTATGGGGAAAAGCAGATAAGCTTCACCTCAGTCCTAGGGACTTTGATTTCTCATGTGGTGACTGCCTGATATTATGGTGGGCCCCACATCATCGTTTTCTTCCTGATGAGTTTTCTTAGGATAGTGATTTACAGTTTTCAAACGGCTTTCACATTTATCATTTGATCTCAAAACAGCCATCTGGGGAGTCAGGGTAGGTACTATTTACTCCACTTTACAGATGTGGAAACTGTTCAAAGCTAACAAAAACAGAAGCTGAAACATTGCTTCTGGAACAAGATACTTCATCTGGAGTCAGGTCCCCAGGGTGTCATACCCATGCAGCTCCAACTGGTAGGCGGCCATGTCCGCAATGGCTTGGGCATCAGCGGCTGAACCAGAGAGGGCACAGTAGATGCGATGGTGTAGAGGGGACAGCTTGTCAAACACCCGGTTGACCACTGCYTCTCTGTTGGGAAACAGCCAATGGTCATTAATGTTAGAGTTGCAGGAATTTGGGGGCTAATCATTTATTGTTTCTCAAGGTTATTTGAAAAGAGAATAGCATGAAATTTARTGCTTGGATTAAAGCAGCCAACAAAAATAAAATAACCTCAGATAAAATAATCACTCTATTAATCATTATTAATTAGACTTCTTTTCAGACAGATTTTACAACAAAACAAATATACRGAGWTAAGAAACATGTGCCTCATGAATTTTTCTTCCCTATTAATCATCTTGGAGGAGTTCTGTTCTACAGAACATAATGTAAGTAATACTGATCTAACCCTATATACTCATGTTGCATGTGAGAAAACTGGCTAGGAGGGGAGAAGAGACAAAATTAAATGAAAATGTAAAAATGAGAAGTGAGATGCTTACTTGATGAAGCCATCTTGTTTATCYTTAAACACAGATGGAAGAAGACTCCTCAGAAACCTACAGCCTGTGCCACATTCAGACCCTAGTCCTTTACACTTATCGTGACACATGACAAGGACAGGCTATTTAGGCACTCAGACCCCAGATCCTCCTCCATGAATTCAGCACCCATMCATCTACCCAAGGTCATATTATAGTGGATTTTTGAAAAGGTCAGCTTCATTTCCTGAAAGCTCTAACCTATCAGGTTTTTTCACAAATGGGTCAGAAAAAAATGTGTATTGGGGGCCATCATTAGCTTCCTTCCAAAGGTATACACCTTCACTGTACTCACCCTGCAGACACCCGGGAATCAGAACCCACCACGACACCCCCATCAAACTCCACTGCCATGATGGTTGTCTGCAGAGACACAGAGTAYGAAATGTCAGAGCAGGAAAAGTCCCCATCCCTTAAGCTATAGAAGAGGARACATTCCCGGAGAGGGAAGGTGACTAGCTCAAGGTCACACAGTAGTTCAGGCCAGAGCTGACTCCTAGCACAGGATTTTTTTTTCCCCTACATCTTTCTTCTTTCCCTACTGTTTCATTCAGCTGTAGGCAAATGTCACAGCCTGGCTCTAAGACCGCACAGAAAGAGCTATCTCTAAGCTCCAACTTCCCTAAGTGGAATTCTTACCACTCAAAAGAGAGGTGGAGATGAGGTTCCTAAAGGGAGAAGTGATCCTACTGAGGGGAGGGCTGGAGGGGGGTCACTTCCATGTGCTGGTGAAGAAGCCCACAAGTGAATAGTCTCCACTATCTTGTGTCTGTTGTAGGTGCAGATGTTGTACAGATCTGATAGTGCAAGTTACTGTGAATTTGGTAAACAAGGTCAGGTCTTTTTTTGATCCCAAATCCTCTACTTCCATTCTTGCTTAATCAGAAGTGAGCTYTTTAAATTTACCAGGCAATGGAAAACATCAAGGAGGTCAGTGGTTGGCATGGCCACGGGTCAAGGTAGGAGGGAAGAAACAAGAACACATAGAAGGMTTAAAAGAGGTAAATCAAAGTCTTTGCAGCCAGGGGAAGAGTYTGTACTAGGAGAGTGCTGATCTCTGTCCAGATCTCTTGACTRGAAAATTTGAACTGAAATTTCCAGGTCAAGAAAAGGATTAAGGAAGAATGAAAGAGGATAAAGGTATACTTTTCCAGATCTTGTTGAGTTGGAAGGAGCCTTAAAGATTCTCTGTTCAGTGGAGGAAACTGAGTCACGGAGAAGAAATTACTTAGCCAAGGTCATGCAGAATTAATAGCAGACCTGGAACTAAAACCCAGGTCTAACTCCTATCCCTTGATTGGACTTCTTGTGCTTTCCACTGCTAATCTGGCAGTGAGACTTCTTGTGCTTTCCACTGCTCACCTGGCGCTGGTGAGGCATCTTGAGCTGTCCTAACCTGTACTGGGCAGATCTGCCCAGAGACAGGTGAAGAAAGAGTCCCTCCAAGTGGCTAGGACGAGAAAATTTGTGAATGTGGATCTGAAGGAGG